ACCTCTATTTCCCCATTGGGGAATTCGACTTTCGGGCACTCCTGGCGCTGGACCCGAAGGAGGAATTCGTCCTCGAGTATGGCTAAAACTTCCGGGTCGTTAGAGTCGTCGAGGTTGGTGTTGAGTACGCGATCGGCAAATCGACTTGCACGGGGGACCTTTTCGAACCCGACAACCACGCCCTGGCTGCCATTGACCAGTCCTTTCGCCAAATTGAGATTCTGGAAGAGGACAACGGGCATTCCCTCCTTGAGAAGCACCTTAGACTCCAGAACCTGTTCTTTGAGGGCTCTGAGTGTGCCGTCCAGCGGATTTCTCTCACCCAGGTATTTTAGTTCTGGGTGGAGTTTTCGATTCCATTGAAACGTATCGATGCACTTGAACACTCGGGGTTTGCCTGGCAGTTTGAAAAATTCCCTGTCATTGATCGAACGGGTTTCCCAGCGGGTTGGGAACAGTTTGGTGGCATTCTTGTCTATGTTGGATGCGTGATTGACGAGGGAATTGATGTCCTGGTCCGTGAGACGAGCGCCAACTCGACATTTCTGCAGAATCTCAACGAACTTGGGGTCGCGTTGACGGTGAATTTGGTTCAGATGGACTGGGTTGAAGTTGCATTCCTTCCAGGCTTTGCTCCGAAAAGCCCACTTGTCCTCGTCCGTAAAGGTTGCATTGCACGGCACACATGTATATGTCGTGCCTCTCTCGGTCTTGCTGTCATTCTTGTCCATCTTGGATCCGCAATGATAGCAGAGCTCGAAGGGCGAGACTGGCGGTAGTTGGCAAAAATCGCCCACAACGATGACTTGGACGCCTCCGAACGGCGAGTGGTCATCGCGGATCCGTTTGTGAACCTCGTTGAGGCGTTCGAAATGATGATTTTCTACCATGCTGATCTCGTCGATTATGAGGACATCTGTGTCTTGAATTCGTTTTCGGGCAGCCGCGTTGTATCGTGACTTGAACACAAGATCCTCGATACTTTGCCTGGTGAGGCCTGGACTCCAGCCAACGTAGGACCAGGTGGTTATGCCGTTCACATTGAAGGCTGCCTTGCCAGTAGGAGCCACTACGTGGACAAGTTTACCAATATCTTGGAGGCGCTCGACAATGGCGCGCAGAACTCTCGATTTGCCCGAACCAGCCGAACCCGTGTAGAAGATGTTGTCACCCCTCTCAGCAAGCTCGACAATTCGTTGCTGCTCTGAGGCGAGTTCTGGTAGGTCTTCGGCCAACAATGCCGTTTCCTTCCGCTTAACTTTCAGGAACTCCTCCTTGGCTGTATCAATATGCTGCCAGGGGGTATGCTTTTCTGATTTTAGGTCAATGCGAGGCTTCCGAACAGTCGTATCTCGGTGTGATGCCGTGCATTCGTTGCGTGAGGGAGCAATATATGGTGGTTCGTACGTGACTGTGACGGGAGTTCCCGGCGCACGGCTCAAGTTCAGCACGACGTGGTTGTAGGCTGCCCGGTGAAGTTGTATCTCATGAAGAAGCATAGGCGATGGAGGCGACGGGGAGGAGTGACGAAGCCGCTGCAATCTCCAGTATTCGCGGGCAACCGCTATTGCTTCTTCGGATAGTGGTCGCCCATTGTGATCCAGTAGTTGCCCAAGCTTTCCCCTGTTCTCTGCCTTGGAATCTCGACCCTGCCTTTTATGGACAGGCGCGCAAGTAGAGAATCGCGAGCTCGGCTCGAGATTTGCTGTTCGGAATGCCCCCGCCAACCTCCAAACGCCCTGGCGCATCGTTGACACCCGACCGATGTTAAGGAGTGACTCTGCGCAAAATCCGGAGGAGATTATGTGACGGATCCAGGGCTCAAATTGAAGCGAGATGACATATCCTTCCTGTGCCTCGTCAAGGAAGTTGAGTGACGGTGGTGAAGTGGAAGTTGTCGACGCCCAACTCGAAGCGCGATGTCGTCCCGATGTTGATGGCGGGGAAATGCACCAGGCAGCTTGCACTAACACTCTTTCCCTTATTTCAGTATGCAAGTAGCACCCTTGATGGTTAGTGCAATGAGGTAGATGGCCGTTTGTTGTTGGCCTCGCGCCGCCAAACCTGCAGGTACGAGGGCCAATCAGAAACTGCAACTGGATTGTTGACTTACAAGTACAAGTACATGCAGATACCTGTGGCGGCCCGGTAGAACCTTGACGGCTTGGTTTTGCCAGCTGTCCAGGTACCTGCCTTAGGTCTCCTGCCCATCCAACCCATCGCGCCAAACGTTCCCGGATCACAATGGGAGCACATTTCATGACCAGAGTCACATTGGCTAGGGAGAAGCGTGAGTTGTCAAAGATGACGATATAATCAACAACATCGAGGACCAAATACACCAAGCGCCCTGAGAGACACATCGGTCAAGGTATCTCTATATACCTACACGAGCAAGGACGCTGAAAAGTGCGGTTAGTGTGTTAGTGCTTTTCGCGGGCGGTCGCTACGTAGAATCCCGGCCACACTACCCAAATCATAGCGCACGAACCGAAACCAGGCTTTTCGCCCGCAAAACAATTGTTAGCACTATCTGAGTTTCGCGATTTTCATGTTAGTACATTTCCGTACAGCCGTTTTTCGCGCTTTCGTATACTTTTCGTGTAAATAATTCTAAGGGGGGGTCCCGGGGGGCGCAGCCCCCTGGCATTAAAGTAAATAATTTCTAAAATATTTAAATTACTTACGAGAGAAACGGCCAACCTAAAACCCAATTATATAAAAGTATTAGCGGACTATAACCCAGCTTCCAGCTCTGCACGTAACAACCCAGAATCCAGCCTTGCACCCATACGGAAGGGCGCGGCGTGCCGCCCCGAACACTAGTGTACATCTGAAGCCCATCCACCGTCTGACTCTGTTTCAAGACAGCCTCGAAGCCGTGGACCTCAACCTTTGAACGCCGCTGCCGTCTTATCATTAGGTATTGGGACAGTTGACGTTGCCTGCGTCACGACCACCGGCGTCCCTACTGCTGTGATGGTGCTCTTCAGTCCCTGATCCGTCACCGGCACCGGCTTCGCCTCAGGCGCCAGCGTTGGCCCCGGGATAACATACGTCGAAAGCGCCGCCGTGTAGATATCAATGGCCACTCCCGGGTCCGTGGCTTTATACAGCGCCGTAGCTGGCACCCCTTCTTTCTGCCCGGCCACCACCACTTCCTCCTTGCCAACCTTTGCGGCTTTTAGGCCAGGCGCCTCCACCCACAAGTTCACGCATTGCGGGTAGTTCTGCGCTCCGTCCTTCAGATTGGCGTAGTGCAGTGCGATCAACTCGTGACGTAGCACATACGGTCCCGGCTCGAGATCGTTCGGCAAACCCAATAGCCAAGTATTGTTCTGGGTGATTAGGACATCGGTTGCCCATCTACCGGGTGGACCACCTTTTTCGTCGAGCAAAACTGGTGACGAGTCATCGATCTTGGTCCATGACAGCTTGCGCTTGTCAACCGAAGCACATCCGTCTGTCGTGTTGGCGCAGGGGGCTAGATACGACAAGACTGGGCCCTTGTGGGATTGGGGCCAGCCGTTCCATTGTATCTGGATCTTGTCTCCTGCCTTGACAGGCGCGTGGGCTTTAGCCGGCTTGCCGTCGCGGTGGCAGATGATGTCGGGGTTTGAGTAGTTGGACGGCGTCACGAAGCCATCATCAACAGCGCTTGTCGACCATCCGATGCTGTTGGTGATGGCATCAGGAGCATGCGGGTTGAAGCCTCGATACTGCTGTCCGTTGATGATCAGGTACAAGATGTGGGAGTGTGCAAGCGCTTGGGAGAACATGGCGCAAGACGCCAGTAGTCTAAAGGCTCTAACCATGATATCTGTCGAGTGACGAGATGGGAAAGAAAAGTGAAGCTGAAGACACTGGAATCCGACTGACGACACTTTTCAAATACTCTCGTTTTTGGCTCGCAACGATGACGCTTGAACGGGACAGGAAGATGCGGTTGGGAGTACACAACGTGCTTATTTATCATCCTCCATCTATCCTACCCGGTTACTTCTGCCAACTCCTTCAAACAGCTCACGAGCCTGGTAGTTGGGTTCGTGGCCCGAACAACTGCCGCAGAAACATGCAACTCGAGTCGATCGGCATTCACTTTTACCTAAACATCGACGCGCGGAAGCAAACGAGTGTCCAGATGGCATCAGCAAGCGAAAACCCCGAAACCTCTCGACGATCAATTCATCCATATTCTCCATAAACCCCTTGATGACCATGCCGTCTGCCTGACAAACGAGAGACATCTGAGGCGATCAAAAATGGAGGATGACGAAGCCGACATGGCATTTCATATACTCCTCTCATATCATATACACTTCGAAACAGGCCCCTCACTCTTTGTTCGGCTTATAGGCTACGCCGGCTAAACTGCCCGTGTCTACCTCGTTCAAGCAGGGCTCGATGATGCTCCCACTGCCAGGGGTCCAGGAGTGTCCTCCGTCTCCGAGTGGAGTATCGGGGTTTACTGTTGGGTGGTTCATCTACCTGACGAAAACAACGGCCTTCCGGATCCATCCTTCTCGGAGCCGATGGCCGATTGCCTAATCTGGAAAGATCGTCTGTTTTGATAGGGTAAGGGGAAACAGAATATCCCCGTCAAGCGACCGTTGACCATTTTCCTCCCGAAAACATGTCAGATCGTCAAAGTTGAAACACAACACTGTCTTGAGCCGTGAGAGGTGCTTTTATACTTTACACGAGCTTTTTTACATAGGTGAACGCCGACTAGGATGTCTAGCATTCACACGGTGCTCTTTGTCACTCCAACATCCCCAGCCGTTTTCCCACAGCGCAACAGATGCTGAACGGTACATGGCCACTTGGGATCTGAAAAACTACTTTGATAGATTCCTTCTTTTTGATTGTTCAGCTTCACTCTTCATAGTCTGCCCTTTCCCTTCCCACCCTGTCTCACTCCCATGCTTTCTTTTGCCATCCTTTTCTTTCTCGCCTTTTCTTGTCCGCCCTTTTCTCTCCCACCAATGCTTTGGTGTTTTCTATCGGCGTGCTACTGATTCCCTTTCCTGCACAGCCCCCATGATCTCATCCAGATAGGGATGGACAGTAACTGTGTCATGAACGCCTTCATGAACCGCGGGAAAAGTTTGCAGGATTGCCATTTTCTGCCAAAAGGATTCGATGTCAATCAGAAGCTTTATGCCAGTTTTTGAATAAGTGGCGAGGTATTCTTTGGCGAACAGATCGCTTAGATGTGGACAAGAGTCGTCCCTTGTCCATTGTACTGGTTTATCTCGACCTTGGTTTTTGAGGATGCCTACCCTCAATCCCTTCAACAATGGTATAGCATCCGTACCGGCCACGGCCACCAGACCTTCTAGTTGTGGCCGGATCTGGGTGTCCCTGATATCGATCTGCGTGATGTCAAGCGACTCAAGACGTGGACATCCTTCGATCAGTCTGACTAGCTGTTCTTTTACGAGACCGTCAGAATGCGTCCACCGTAAAGCTCTGTGACAAATTCGCAACATTTTGAGGTTTGGGAAGTGTCCAAGATGCGTAACCAGGTTTTCGTTGGCGTCCATGTTGTCGTCGGGATTAATGTCGTCGTCGTCGGAGTCCGCATCGTTTGGCACGTTCGTGAAGATGTAATCGAGCATTGGCGCATACTCGATGGACAATGCCTTGAGTTGTTGTGAAAGAGGGCTCAGAGCTCTCAAGACCAGCGCGGGCCCAAGAAAGGCAAAGTCCCTTGGCGTCGGCTCTCCTAACTGTTGGGCTGGCTTCAGATGTGAACACGAAGCGTTCCAACCTGGGACAAGCGCTGACAATGTTGACCAGATCCGCTTTCCCCAAGAAAGAGCAATAATGAAGAACCAGTGAGGTGAGGCTTCCAAGTGGAAGGATGGGAACTGCTGATCTGTCCCTGCTCGAAAATGCTCTGAGTGTCAGGTGTCGGAGATTGGGGGCGCGATTGACGAAGAAGACGGCCTCGTCAAGTGGAGTAAGCGACCGCAGAAACGGTGCAATCTCTGCCCAAGGTCATGACAAATATGATATCCCTTCTAGGTTCGCGACTTTCAAGTTTGGGAACGTGACAGACCTGACGACCACATCCCTCCACAAGAACCGCTCACGGTTGCGGCCTCTTCTGTCACCAATAGTCAAGTGATTGAGCCATTTTATATTGCGGCAGTGACAGATAATCACGGCCGGGATGAGGGCGACAAGAACGCGCAAATCATCCAAAAGGCTGTCATTGTGCGCCACCATGCTCAAGAATGGAGTATACTTGTTCAATAACATGAACAAGGCCTGGTGCGACTGTGTTTCTTTCGTCGACACGGCCTGTGGCAATCGCTCAAGATCACAGCAGCGATCCAAGACTGCTCTCAAGCTGTGCTCAACTCCAATCTGAGAACTTGCTCCGTAATACGCAGTCAGCACCTCTCATAGCACACTCCGACCAC